TATTACAATCTTTGGGTTTCATAATCAATATAGAAAAGAGTGTACTAAAACCATCACATTCAATTGAATTTTTAGGATTTATTATAAATTCAATAGATCAAACGATAAAATTAACACCAATAAAAATGTCAAAAATATATAGTTCAATTATCGAGATAAAATCAATGGACACTATCTCCATTAGACAATTTTCAAAATTGATCGGTCAGCTTATTGCAGCATGTCCAGCAATCAAATATGGATGGCTCTACGTCAAACTTTTTGAACGTGAAAAGTTACTAGCATTGCAACAAAATAACAACAATTTTGATGCAATCATGATTCTTCCAAAATATTTAACAAATGATTTCGAATGGTGGCTTAAAAATATTAACAAGTCTTACAAAGAATTGAATTCTGAAAATTACATTTTAGAAATATTTTCAGATGCATCTAAAACAGGTTGGGGGGCATACTGCAATAACCAAAGAACATGTGGGTTTTGGGATGAACATGAAAAAGAAATGCACATAAATTATTTGGAATTGCTAGCAGCTTTTTACTCTTTAAAATCTTTTACAAAACTCCTTCGAAAATGTAACATATTATTAAGGATAGACAATAAAACTGCCATCGCATGCATCAATCGAATGGGCAGCGTGCAATTTAAAAAACTAAATTCCATATCAAGAAAAATTTGGCAATTCTGTGAAAAGCAAAATATATTTGTTTTCGCCTCCTACATTAAATCATCGGAAAACATCGATGCCGACATACAATCAAGAAACACATCTATTGAAACCGAGTATGAGTTAGATAATGCAGCATATTCTCAAATAACAGAAACATTTGGTTTTCCGGAAATAGACTTGTTTGCCTCACGTCTAAATAAAAAGTGCACAAAATATGTTTCTTGGAAACAAGACCCGGACTCTATTGCAGTAGATGCGTTTACAATATCATGGCACGACAAATATTTTTATGCTTTTCCCCCCTTTGTCTTAATTACAAAAGTTATTAGTAAAATAATTAAAGACAAAGCAAAAGGAATAATAATAACACCTAAATGGCCAAACCAACCTTGGTACCCCATGCTTAAACAAATAACAGAACAAGAAATAATTTTTCCACCAAGATATAATTTATTGTTTTCACCTTTTAGAAAGAGCCATCAGCTTCATCGAAGTCTTACCCTGGTTGCTTCGAGATTATCAGGAACGCTTATAAAAACAAAATAAAATCTGAAGAGGCAATAAAAATTCTAATGGCATCCATTTCGGAAAAAACACAAAAACAATACGACACTTGTTACAAACAGTGGTGGGATTTTTGCTTAACCAAGAAAACTGACCCTTACCAATATAAACTGGAAAAAATAATTGAAATCTTAACACAAAAATTCCAACAGGGAAAAAGTCATGCTTTAATTAACACATTTAGATCCGCACTTTCGTTAATATTCATTCCTAACGATAATGACCAAAAAGTCGTTTCTCGTTTTTTAAAAGGTATTTACAATATAAAACCATCCAAACCTAAATATGCAGAAACCTGGGACCCTTCACAGGTATTGGACTATTTAGAACAAAAATTCCCAAATGAAACATTACCCTTAGAAGATTTAACGTTAAAATTAGCAACTTTGCTTGCACTCATTTCTGGTCATAGAGTACAAACACTCTCCAAAATAACTTGTGACAATATTAATATTACAAATCAAGAAATTAAAATTAGAATCACACAAAAAATAAAAACTTCGGGGCCAAATAAATTACAACCTATCATTGTTCTTCCGTATTTTCATGAAAAACCAAAATTATGTGTTGCTTCTCTAATTAAATACTATATAACAAAAACAAACCATGTTAGACTTCAAGATAACACTCCTTTATTTTTTACATTCAAAAAACCACACCACCCAGCAACATCACAGACCATCAGTAGATGGATTAAAAAAGTAATGGCACTAAGCGGAATTGACATAACGGTATTTTCTGCACATAGTACCCGCCATGCGAGCACATCGAAGGCGGCAAGAAATGGAGTAAACATAGAAATTATAAAAGAGACTGCTGGATGGTCTAAAAACTCTGAAGTTTTTAACAAGTTCTACAATAAACCTTTACGAAAGAACACCTCACAATTTGCAAATTCTATAATTAATTATTAACAATTGTTAAGTTTAAGTTAATAATAATCCAGTTAAAAATAATGTTAAAACATGAATTAGAAACTAGAATTAAGTTTGCATTTTTGAATAATGGCAATAACATGTAATGAAAACATTTTTATATGTATTTCTCTACATCATGTTTGACCGATTCTTTGTCACATCAAATATAAATTAAAGATCAAATATTTTATTGTTTACTTTCTTAGGACCTAAGATCGCTTTATATAAGGGATCCTTTAAACATCTACATGGTGAATTAGGTAATTGTTGAGGACAGGACCACGAAAAATAATTGAAAGATTGGTCGACTTACCTGTAAGGAAGATCGATCTTAATTATTTGAGTGGTCCTGTCTGAAAACAATTACCTCCCACCCTTCCCGAATTAACCCCAGCGCGATCGGTAGCCTTTATAATCTGTGATTAGTAGGTGGCAAAATGGGAATGACTTATATTGACAGGATTGAATTATAGGTGCTATGCAACAAAAAATTAATCATTGTTGCTTTAAACTTTGCGCAGCAGAACGGTGTACTACATGGTGAATTAGGTAATTGTTTTCAGACAGGACCACTCAAATAATTAAGATCGATCTTCCTTACAGGTAAGTCGACCAATCTTTCAATAAGTCAAATATGACTTATAATTAGTCATTTTTGACTTTTTCATTTTAAGAGAATATATATATCTATAGATATTACTTATAGAGTAAACCAAAATATGTCTAAAAAAATAACTACTCTTAACCATCAGAAGTTAGAAGTTAATACGAGCCCTAACCACATAATGTTCGGACACTTCATAATTTATACAGAAATTTTTTTCGTGAATACTATCTCAAAATTATTAGAAGTTATGAAAAATTCAGCTTATTTTGGCATATACCCCTCGAAGCGATTTTTATTTTTAAAAAATTTACCTTTTATTTTTAGCTTTTAAAAAAAGGCTAACTTTTTAACTTTTTTTTGTATGAGTAAAAAAAGTTATAAATGGACCCATTAAAAAGAGCATAAAATATTATACAAACCCTGAAAATTTGGTAAAAAATAAATAAGTTATAAAAAAGTATAAGTAATTTAAAAATGCTATTTTTAAAGAGTTTTTGCAATTTTCTTAGGAAACGGGAGATTTTGCACATATATATATCGCTATAACTTTCTTATTATTTATACAATTTTTACCAAATTTTCAGGGTTTGTATAATATTTTATGTTCTTTTTAATGGGCCCATTTATAACTTTTTTTACTCATGCAAAAAAAAGTTAAAAAGTTAGCCTTTTTTTAAAAGCTAAAAATAAAAGGTAAACTTTTTAAAAATAAAAATCGCTTCGAGGGGTATATGCCAAAATAAGCTGAATTTTTCATAACTTCTAATAATTTTGAGATAGTATTCACGAAAAAAATTTCTGTATAAATTATGAAGTGTCCGAACATTATGTGGTTAGGGCTCGTATAACTTTATGTAACTTCTGAAATAACATACTTTTTAACCTATAAACCAAATATTTAACTAGTTAGTAATATTACCAAGGTTAGTAAGCCCGGGCGCCCTTAAGATAACAGATTGGAGTGTCTCTGATAAGCTTTTCTAAAATTTGCCCTGGGCCCCGTAAGTATAGTATCTAGTAATAGGCGCCAAATTTTAAGTGCCTAGGGCGCAGAATTGCCTTAAGCCGGCCCTGACTTGACCTCCGGAAATACTAACACTCATTTTTACGGGTGCAACGTTATTTTTAATAAAAACAAAGCCATTTTGTGGTAACCATCTTGTTCTCAATCATTTTGACCTCATAAGAACCAATTTTTTAGTGTCGGAAGTAAAAAAAAAAATATTCGATTTTTTTTAATCACCCTAATGATTATATTTGAGGCCTGTCATAACAAAACCGACAATCTCCACTTTTGGTCAAAAAATAGATTTTTGGCGGAGACTGTACTTATCTATAAGATGATAAAGTTTATGTGCTGCAAAAGGAGCTAAATCCTGCCTAAAATCCTATTTTAAAAATGACATTTAGTGCAAAGTCGACAATCGCCACTGATAGATTTGCAGCAAATTCCACCATTAGAAATTAGTAATTTGTGTCACCTGATATCCTAACATTTAATGTTATAACGTATTTTAGAGATTTAATTTTGTGTTTTTTTACTGGTACATAATGTTAAGTTCTATTGCAGTAAATTGCACTTAAAAATATATTTAAAATAGGTATATATACGTTTTATTGTTTTAAAAATTATAAAAAAGTTATCTTGTTTATTTTGTGATATTATACCATAATAAGACGTAAAGGTAAAGGCTAATAATGTCAAAACATTCCAAGTAAAACATTACGGGGCAAGAAGATGATGAGTTGTTGTACTATAAAAACTTTTTTGCACGAGGCAACCTGTTCCCAGATTTAGAAGAAACTTCAGATTTATGTGGTCCAGTTCAGAATTTTAGCACATTGATTGTATAGTTAAATTTTATACCCATTAAAGGAATAAAATTATTTTTTTGTTTATTTTTCTAAATCTCCTTAAACGTTTACAACAAAATGAGCAATCTCCAGCAATTCATATCAAAGTAAGCAATCTCCAATTTATAATTATAGATTTCACCTAAACTATGCATCCTGGAGACCTTGTAGTTGGCTACTAGACTAACAACAACAATATTTCAATATAATATATAAAAAAATTACAATTTAAAATACCAAAATCAATTATCTCAATTTACTCAGTTTTAGTCTGATGGGAGATTGTTGACTTTGCGAATTAAGATATTAAGTAATAATTGTGCAGGTTTCATTAAAACATAAATTTTGGAGAAAATGTTGTATAAATTAAATTAAAAAATGACTTACCCGTAGGTTAAGGCGTTGGGGTGTATGCCGTACTTTTTCATGAGCAGCAGCAACTTGACGGCCAATAGGGGCCTGGAATGTTCGCCGCAAAGTTGCATCATCAGCCTGTAGCAGATCTCGTCGCAGGCCAATCGTTGCTTGGTCGCGCCGACTAGGAGCTCGTACGCCTGCTGCAGGATGGCCTTCTCCTTGCCCTTGTTCAGCATCAGCATGCTGGGCAGCACCATGAAGTAGAGGGTGTGGCAGGTGCCGCACAGGCACTTCGCCCACATCTCCGGCGATTTTACGTACTCGCTGAAGTTACGTTTAGTTTGAAACACGATACACGAAAATCGGTATGCTGGTTATGCAAGATACATACACCTTAAGATAGGATAGTGCGCATGTTGGGCGGGGCTTAAATACGTCACTTGATGAGTGTTTTTAAATCTTTAACGTGCTTTTTAATTATCTGCTGCTAAAATTCTTGTTTTTGCGATGCTTTTGAATGTTAACTTGCTGTACTTTTTGTTTAACTTGTTGTTTTTGTGTTCGGTAAGGTTCAAATTACTTTTCAGCGTTCAAATTATTGTTATTGGGTTAGGTTAACCTGTTAGGTTTGTTTATTATTGTTTTGCAACGTTTTTCGTAAAGTTTTTACTGCATTTATTGAACAGCTATAACTATTTACAAGTCATGCACGGGTGTTTTATTCCAGGATATTTATTAAGTTTGTGTTATATTTGTCGGACTTAATAACTACACTCACAGGCAAAATAATCGATCCACACAAATTTTCGATGAATTTCAATCGCAACTAACTTTTTTATTTGATGTTGGATTTAAATGAATATTAAAGAATATTGTAGATAAATTAATGGACAATCGCTCACATTTTAAAAAATTACTAAAAAATAGACGTACGTTTATAATATACAGATGTAAACAAAAAGATATTTTTTTACCATAAATTTAAGACACTCTGTAGAGTGGCAAAACCGTATATTGTTCTAAATTAAGTTTTATTTATCAAGTTACATTTATTTATCAAGTTACATCTATTCCTAACAGTTTTGTTTTTTTGGTTCACCTCGATATATTTATTTTTGTAGAAAATATGGATTTTTAAAAAAAACATTGCAATTTCCAATATTTTTCTGTAGGAAGAACTAAGGTTGCTATGGTCCATCCATAGGTTATGGAGAATGACAGTGACAGTTTTGTTGAATCATCCTATACTTGGCCATCTCATACACGGCTTTCAAAAGCTTTCAAATTGATTTTTGCAAATTAATGTTTAAATTTTGAGGTGTCTTACTTTAAAAAATGGATATGTCTCCGACTGATGTTGCCAGAGCCTTTAATTTAATCCAGGATGGACGGTCACAGTATTACGTGGCAAGTGTTTTAAACATCACAAGAAGTAAAGTACAAAGGGCAACATCAGTCGGAGACATTTTTAAAAGTAAGAAGACACCTCAAAATTAACACATTAATTTACAAAAAAAAATTTCATACCTTTTGAAAGCTGTATATGACATGTCCAAGTATGGGATGATTCAACAAAACTGTCACTGTCATCCTCCATAGGCTATGGAAGGACCATAGCAACCTTAGTTCTCCATACAGGAAAAATATTGGAAATTGCAATGTTTTTTTTTTAAATTCATATTTTTCATAAAAATAAATATATTAAGGTGAACCAAAAACAAAACTGTTAAAAATAGATGTGACTTGATAATTAAAACTTAATTTAGAACAATATACGGTTTTGCCACTCTACAGAGTGTCTTAAACTTATGGTAAAAAACATCTTTTTGTTTAAACCTGTATATTATAAACGTACGTGTATTTTTTAGTAATTTTTAAAATGTGACCGGTTCTCCATTAATGTACCTACAATATTCTTTAATATTTGTTTAAATCCGAAATCAAATAAAAAAGTTATTTGCGATTGAAATTCATCGAAAATTTGTGTGGATCGATTATTTTGCCTGTGCGTGTATTTAAAATATGCCGGGCTGTGCTGTGGCAGACCTAACCAAACATTAAATATTTTCGATTTCCAAAAAATAAAGATCTGGCAGCACATAGGATGAATGCATGCACGAGAGAAGGATACAATGAAAATAAAAAACGGCAAGTAAAGGTAATTTTTGGTATACCCAATTTTCTGTTAGATACTTATAGTAACTTTTCATCCTAACCACATATTTTTTTACAGCTCTTACAGTTCTTACTAATAATAAAAATTAAAACGCAATTGAATCGGAATCCCGCTTTAAAAGTGTCACAAGTAAAAAAAAGCAGTTTTGAGATTTTTGACACTTTAAAGCGGGCGTGCGTTTTTATTATTTTTGTAATTTATAAATGTATAGCATAAGTTAAGTTAATTCAATTAAATAAAAAAATATTTTGAAAAATATTAATAGGAAGGTAGGAAATTAATTGTTCCTTAAAATATGTTAATTAATTCAACTTTCTCTAAACATTTGTTACACTTAATAAATGCACCCAGGCCGTCCTTATAGATATAAATTTTCGAATATAACGTGAATTTTCAGTGCAAATAACATTCCAACCAAGTTACCCCCCAGCTTTTGGTTCGCACATGACGTCACACGGTGCGAGAGAGGTAGCTATAACATGCGCATCAGCATACCGGTTTTTGTGTATCGTGGTTTGAAAGACAATATTTAGTGTGTTTTTGACATGCTTAACCCTCCGGTCGGTGATAAGGCCCGATTTAATTATTTTATGTTATCATGCGCTAGAAATGTGTTGCAACACGCATTCCATAAAAATGACATGATAAATTTTTTTGCAACATTTTCCAAATAAAAAAAACAACTTGGGAAAGGACACCATAATATACATTTGGGCGCTTTATACAACCACAAACAACACAAAAAATCATTAAGACATATATTGAACAGATCAGCATCTATGCCCCTTAGTCCTTAGGACCTTATACCCCACTTTACCAATCACTGGACCATCACTGATTGAGGGTTGTCATACTAAAATGTCAGAATTCATTTTTTTTGTTATTGACATTCTAAAATAATCTTTTATTTCCATTGTATTTAGAACCTTACTTAAAAGTTTTTTTAGATATATCTTAGAACCTTTTAGGTAGGTATGTCCCAAAAATTATAATTCTTGTGAAAATTTTTAAAAATAATGTTTGTTTGGTTAAATAAGGAATACAATTGCAAATGAAGATTATTTAAAGTCAGAATTTTCATGTAAATGATTACATTTACATGAAAATTCTGACTTTAAATAATCTTCATTTGCATTATTTTTGCATAATTTGGATTATTTTTGCATAATTATATGCAAAAATAATCCACCCAAAAGTTTTTAAAAATTTCAATTGTTATTACTTATTTTTACAATTAAATAATTTGGCGATATTATTTGGAAAATTAATTACATGTACAATACTTTTACACAGATTATCTGTGACAGATATAAAAATAAAAAAATAGTTTAAATTTAAAACCTAATTAGGTTAATATTTTTCCTTGTTTTGTAGCTTGTATTTGTTCCATTTACTTCGAAGATAGTTGCTATAAGAAGGAAAATAAAAGTGGAAACGGTTCCAACTTTACACTTAACAGCTGATATATGTATCAAAAGAGAAATCAAGTACTTTATATTAAAATAAAATTGGAAAAAACAATACAAATCATAGTTCTTTTTACAGTGTACAAGAAATAGGACAAAACCAGGAAGCATATTATGATCTTTGACAGCCCATAACAGAAACTCAAGTGTATAAAATTAAAATAAAATTTGGAAAACAAAATTAATCTAAATTAAATCTTTCTTTTTGCATTGTGTAGGAAATGTGCCGAGACAAGGAAGCTAATGATCTAGAAGGACAGTCCATAACAGAAACTCAAACTGCAGCATGCTGCTGATAATAAAATGGCCTTGGATTGAAACATCTCAAAAGCATTAAAAAACCAGCTTATACCATACCATAATATAATATTTTTCAAAAGTTTAGTTTAATTTATTCAATATTGGCTTCATGGTGGCCAATTTAGGGGATTTATTTCGCAACTAAACCTAAATTTCAATTATTTGTAAATACAATTTTGTAATAAATAAATTTAGAAAAAGTATGTTGTTTACATTTTCTTGCAATGTTAATGTTGTAACTTGACCCTTTTCATTTCATTCTTTATTTTTGCTTTAAAACAGGAAATTTTATTTTATTGAAAACATTTGAGTTATAAATGGCTTTAAAACAAGATATTTTATTTGAAAACCCATTATTTAACCTAAAAACTAAAATTAAATTTTTCTTACAATTTTTTTCCATATATTTTATTTGGTATTAAATTTTAGCTACCTATAGTAAATATTATATATGTATATACTTTAAAACAATATATTGTATTTAGTTGAAAAACCATATAAAATAGTTTTATTTTTATTAATAATATTTTCTTTAAATGTTAATATTGTGACTTATTATTGTTTTTTACGTTTGATCTTCAAATTATTCCACAATTTAATCTAAAAATCAAATAATTTTATTTTCTATTATTTTTAGAAATTTGGATGAATTTTATAAGAGAATAATTTTTAAATTTAAAATATCATTTAAATTCGAAGGCGGGAATGAACTAAGATTAACTGAGTGGTGCGCAAAGTGAACCAAAATTCGTCCTACGGCCATTTCAAGAATACGGACAGAACAAATTACAATACTGTTTTTATTAAAAAAAAATTGGGAGTACCTAATTTATTATATATTATTTTTGCATCAAACTTGTCAAATATATTCTTCTTTTATTAGGCTATACATTAAATTTAAAAAAACGCAAGAAATATTTTATTAAAGTAGAGATAATTTAAATGATTGACAGGTGTGGACGGGACAAGATAAATCTTTTTTTTGTCCCGTCCACACCTTTCAATTATTAAAATCATTTCTTACTTTTTTATTTAATGTAAATATATATAAAAGAAGAATATTTTTGACAATTTTTATGCTAAAACATTATATAATAAATAGACCTATCCCATAAAACAGACTTTTGGATAGCGCGTGCCTGAAGAAGAGTGGTATCTCTTTTTCTTTTATATAATTAAAAAAAGACGACGTGCCTTTTCACGCACGCGCTATCCAAAAGTCCGTTTTATGGGATAGGTCTATTATCTACAATTTTTTTATAAAAACATTTTTGTGCGTGCGTTTCGCGCGCTTGAAATGGCCCCCTACTAAAGAACATAACTTGTTTTCTTGTACCATGCAATAGACTATTGAAAAAAATGATTTAAGTAGGTAAGTAGGTAGTTCATTTAAAACTTTTTTGTAAACAAATGCATTTTTTAACCAGTAATTCGTCTCAAATTAAAATTTTTCTTGATGGAGTATGTAGTAAATATAAATAACACAAAAATTCCAAAACCGTTTTGTGATCTTATTGGTAAGTGGTAAAAAATTCAATGTTTATTGCGCACCGCACATGTTATTATTTTTCCAAATAAATATCGCCAAAATATTTAATAGTAAAAATAATTAATAAAAAATGAAATGTCTTCAAAACTTTTGAGTGGATTATTACCTGTAAGGTTAAATTTAAATTTAGGTTAAGTTATGTTAAACTCACTGTGCTAGTTTTTGAGCAGTTTTTTTCTCTTGTTTAGTCCTTCTTGCCATTGGTGAGCCGGGCACAACTGTTTGAATTAAATTGGAAAAATGATTTCGTTTTTTCGATATCATCAAAGTTGGGTTCAAGAAAAATTGTGGGTATTCATAGGGATCTAAAAAAAAACAAAAAATATTTCAATAGTGCAATTATTTTTGTAGGTCGAGCGGGTTCCTTCATTTTAATTTGTTGATTTTTTTAATAGACCCGGGACCTAAAAAATCCTTACCAGTTCCATTTTGTTCGGGCGGCAACACACAAACAGTCCTGTCGCTTTTGTGCGCAGCATCGAGTTCAATTAAATGCCCGCCCAACTCCTCGCTGGTCCATTTTTCGGTGCATTCGTCGAAAAACGCCAAACCTTGATCTCCATCTGCTACAAAACTTCTTTCTTCAATAAACCTATCAATATCGCTGAATGAAAAAATATCCATGCGTGGTTTAGAAGGAATCCGAACTACTTCATCAAAGTATTTCGAATTTCTCCTTGTAATTCGCCAAATTTTACCTAATAAACATTTGAGTTTTGATTAAAAGCGAGAAGAACTTCTGATGCGCCTTATCTCTACTCTTCATGAAATCGTTGAGTTGAAACAGCGAGTCGGTGTCCGTGGTGCCTACAGTCGGCGCCTTCGTGATAGGAGACAAAAAGGATTTATAACCGCGCAAAATCATTATCATGAATTTTAAAAAGGCTTCTTGTATCCTCAATTCATGATATTGCTGTAAAATAAGAAAACTGCTACAAAAAAATCAACCATCTTTTTTTTCAATGCCATTGTTTAATAGTTGTAGAAAGAGGAAGTAGGACGCCTATCAAAATTTGAGCCCTTAATATTAATATTTAGTTGAATTTTGAATGCAATTTTCCATTTTTTCATTGAAGAAAACCAGAAAACACATTATTCAGATAAACTTAAAATTAAAAAAGTTTCGGTTACAAAACCTTGAAAACACTTAAATTCTGCTATAAAATTATAATTTTTAACTAAAATACAGAAATATTTTCGCCTTTGTATCGACACAATGCGCCTGCCGCGGACTTTTCCGCTTTTGGCGGATTTTTTTGGCTTTGTCCCGGATTTTGACACTTTTGATGTGGTCACTTTAAGAAAAAGTATAGTCTGAAACACGTTTGGAATTGCATATTCCGCTCTCGTGAAACCGTCAAACTCGCCTTCGACAAACTTTTCACTCGAGCGGAATATGCCATATTCCAAACTTGTTACAGAGAGCGGAATATGCAATTCCAAATGAGTTCAGACTATACGTTTCCAAAAAATACCATAGAAAAGTTCTAAAAGTTGTTTTTTAATTGTTAAAATTGTTTATAAAAGTGAATTTTTACAAAATTGCTTTAACCATAAACAACTTTTGAAAGAGTATACTTAGTTATCAAAAAACTATAGGAAACTTTTTTTTGCAAAGCATTGAACTCTAAAAATTTTCCAATGTTAATTTAATGGAAAAATGGAAAATTGCATTCAGAAACCACCAAGAGCTAAAATTTAAACAGGCGTTTTATTTCCTCTCCCTACAACCATTAAACATGTGGCAATGAGAATTGGATACAGTGAAAAATTCATAGAAAAATTCGGCTTTTTTTCTTAAAAAAATCCTTGAACATGTCGATTTTGTTTTTCAATTACGCACATTTTGATGTAAATTTTTATATTTTCCGACATTTTTGTAGAATATCTGACGTATTCGGCATCTTTTTTAAATTGTACCCCCGTTTTTTTTGGAGATTCAAATAGATTATGAAATTGTGATTTCAGCAATATGCAAATTTATACTTTTTAATTAAGTTTTAATGTTTTATGGTTTTTATTACTTTTTAATGGGGTTTTGATAAAATTAAAAAAAATTTATAGAAGAATTGTTCATAAACTTTCTCAAAATATTTGATTTCAAGGTCAGCCAGTGTCGATATTTGTTTTTTTTTATTTAATATTTTTTGTTGGCATTTAATTTAAAACAAATATTCACCACTAGATGTAAAAACTTTTTGAAGTATCTGTCTCCTAATATGTTTCCAACTATTTCGAATTATTTAAATATGGGTCAGGGTTAACGAAAACACAGAGAATTATCATAGGATGCAGTGTTCCCAACTGCAAAGAATTTTCCCTTTTTAGGGAATTTTGGTACCAAAAAGGGAAAAGGGAATTTTTTAGTAAAAATCGTTAAAATTAGAGAATTTTTCATATTTATTATTAAAAAGCCCACGATATAGATTACACTTTTTTTTCGATCACTTATTTAATAAAGTAACCCAAAATAAAAAGTTTGACAACGCACCCCAAATATTGTGGCAAAAGAAGAAAAAGAAGAACTAACTAACTAACATATTATGTCAACTGCGAGTTTTAATTAAATTAAATTAAATCAATTTTATTTCATGTTTACCTTTATATTTTAATAATTTATTTGTTAGATGAGGCGTATACTGCAAAAGCGGCCCAACTGAAGAAAAAAACATTTTGTGTTTTTATCTAGAAATATTCCTATAATGCGCTTATCGAGTGAGCTAGCCTAATGAAGTGTGTTTTAATATGAAGAGTAGTTACTTCTCTGTATATTAAAATACACTTTATTAGGCTAGCTCACTCGATAAGCGCATAATAGGAATATTTTAAGATAAAAACACAAAATGAGTTTTTTTTCAGTTAGGCCGCTTTTGCAGTATACGCCTCAGATGTTGTTTTGACGTTTGTTTTTTATTTTATTTTTAGATCATATTTTTTTGTTACAAGCATAATAAAATTTATTTTAAAAATTGTATTTTTGGTATGAAGTCATTTTTCTTGGCAACATTGAAAGCAGGGAATTTTAGCACGAAATAGGGAATTTTTGCCATGCAACAAGGGAATTATTACTCTGAAAGGTTGGGAACACTGATAGGATGTGGCAATAAAACTAGAACACATCAACAGACCACAAAATTCGTGAAGAATGTCGCTTTATTAGTGCGAAAGTCATCCAAAACGTTCTCAAAGAATTTTCGGATATGCTTGCTTACTGTCAAGAAACCAACCGGGAGCAATTCGAACATTTAATTGGTTCATGTATCCATTAAAAGCATTTTCAAAATAATTTTCATGCAGATCAAAAATAGTTTTTTGGAAATAAAAAGGTTTAAATCACGAACTTTTAAATTTAATAATACCCAAAACTTTCACCCCAAAAAAAGAATGGGTACAATTTAAAAAAACGGACGGTGATCGTCTTAGCTTCTACAAATGTGGCGGCAAATATGAAAATTTTACATCAAAATGTGCGGAAATAAAAACGTAAATCAATGAATTTTTTGTGAAAAAAGACACATTTTTTAATGAATTTGTTCCATACTTTTGCCGGTCGCTGTAGGTATTCAGTTAAAAAATAAATCTGACAAACAGAATTTCAATTTTTTTTACATGCATGAGTAAAAAAGGAAGACTCTCTTTGGGTAGAATAAATGGCGCCACTGCACACAGCAAACGGAAAAATATAGAACTGTATAGGATGACTCCGCGTTTAAATACTAAATCTTAAAGTTTTATCAGAACTGTATTGAATCGTGTTTTGTTTTTATATTTTTCGGCTCTATACCTATGCACAACTATATTTAAAGTCAAACTCAATGGTGTCTTACAAGATACATTATTTTGATTTTCTATATTCAACAGAGAGGTAGAAACTCGACCCTGTCGAATGGTGCAGTCATTTATGTCTCTAGAAATTATTAAAAAAGGGTTCAGTCCAATGGTGCAGCAACTTCGGATTCCTATTCTCTTCAGAGACATAGAAACTCAAGCTTTTCGAATTTTACTGGCAATGATTTTCGTTAATGTCCCCGAGAATTATACAAAAACAGCGCAATGCAATATCGCAACGGTTTCGACTTCTCTTTACTCTACCAAGTTATAGAAACTGGAGACTCTCTAATACTATTCTAGTCAATATTTCTGAGAGTATAAAAAGAGGGTGTAATATTGCAAGAAGTTTTAATCTTTTAATTGATGCAAGTAGTTTGATTATTCTCATTCCTGCATATGATTTTGTTGAAAATAATTCCTTTCTTTGGTTCCTTTGTCTGATTTTTATTTACCGTTACAACTCAGGTATGTAAAGCACAGAGGATGTGATGTAAAGTATATTTATGTATTATATAAACTACCTATATTTGTATTAAAAATTTCAGAGGTTATGTTGAAAAAATGATCGATAAGCTATTAAACTTTAATAATTTAGTAATGAGGTCTGTTGGTAGATCCTGCACATCTCCACTGGAAGTTTTATGTTAGTTCAGCAATATTTAAATCTGGTTGATCAAAAAGTATACACCAGTGCAGGTTATTGTAGCATCTACGAACAAATGAATTAATGGCCCATTGGCAATTATTCCTTTAGGAAAAATTTTCAACACAGTTTAATTAATTAATAAAATGAAAAAAATCATGTCGTATATAGTTCTTTTTGAAGCATAAAATAGTTTTCATTTTAATACTAGGTAGTTCAAAAGTGAAATTACGACCTCTATACTGTGGAGAGTATTGAAAAGCTCGACTGACGAATACAAATCTATACCGTGGGGAGATTTAGAAAACTATATTCAAACGTGGCGTCATCCTATACACTTCTATAATTTTCCGTTTGCTGTGCAGCGAAAGTGCCAAACAGAGATATTGATTTGTTTTTTAAACATTTGGCTCTGTAGCTAGATCTCGGGGATGGTAAATGCAATTAATTAAAATTTTAATGACTTACCTCCTTTTTCCTCTTCTTGAACAACATTTCTAAATCTTGGCAGGCGGGATCGTTGTTGACGTTTAAGGGGCTTCTGAACTCGTGATATAACACGTCCAGTGTTGCCTTTAGGTATTTTGCCGCTCTTTTAGGCAGAAGTTTAATGTTTAGAATGTGTCTGTGACTTTCTGCAACCTTAACATAAAAATTGGTATTTTGTTTGTTTTTTTTTTCTATTTACTCACTGTTATTATGTTGGTGTCCAAGTCTATGCAGCTGACGTCCGATGGCGGGTCGTACAAATCGAAAAATCTCGAGTCAACTCCGATAAGAAACGGTAGAGGGGCGTGCAGCACTTCCACCAAGCCTGCAAATTATAGCGAGTACGTTTTACTGCCGATATTCGTTGCCACATTCGCAGGGCTCCCACGGTTAAATTACAAAATTTATTTAGGAATTTAGGAGGTTTTTGGAGAATTTTAGGACAAAAAAGTAAGCAAATGAATTTATTTAATTAAATAAAAACAACTCTACACTAAACATAAAAAATAAGAAAAAAATAAGTAATTCTTTTTAACAAAAATATAAATAAATATCACTTCTTTTGTACAAATAGGTTATATTGACTAGTTTTTTAGCCAAATCGCTCGACGAGTTTTTTTTTATAAAATGAAAAGTGAGTTAAATTACTACTTTTGTATATATCTACTCTCTAGAAGTGAAACAGTGAAATTTTCACTATTTCCGTCAGTGAGTTATTATTCACTGTAAAATTAGTGTTTTTCTCCAAATTAGTGTTTTTTATTATCACTACTTTTCCGGAACTCTCGACATAAAATAGTGAATTTAACTTTTTTGAACTAAACCTATTTCACTAATTTGTACAGTGTAATTTCCACTAAATAAATTAGTGCAAAGAAATCGCTACATGAAAAAGTGGGTATTCACTAATTGCTAGTGGTATACTTATCACTGCGGCAAATAGTTAATATGCACTGTTAATCAGTGAAAATCCACTGTTTCATTTTTAGGGAGTACAAGTAGAAATTTCACCACACTTTTAATTTTATTATTACAGTTTAGTTAATAACTAACAAATAAGAAAAAAATAAGTAATTCTTTTTAACAAAAATATAAATAAATATCACTTTTTTTGTACAAATAGGTTATATTGACTAGTTTTTTAGCCAAATCGCTCGACGAGTTTTTTTTTTATAAAATGAAAAGTGAGGTAAAATTACTACTTTTGTATATATCTGTAAGTAGAAATTTCACCACACTTTTAATTTTATTTAAAAAAAGCGTTAATAGATATGGCTAAAAAAAGTAGGCCAAAGTTTAATGATGTTATATTTATATTTTGAAAAAAAAAACAGTTTAGTTAATAACTAAAAATAATTGTAATGTTATTGTTACTAAAAAATCTTATAATAGAAAAAATATAAAGTGCATGATACAGCAAAACATTCTTTAGATTGTTTAATATTTTAGCTATCATTTAAAAGAAAATTAAAAAACCTTTTGTTTGATATATAACACGGTATATTTTTGTCGAAAATTAACGAAATATGGCTAAAAATGAATTTTGTAGAAGTCTAGAAGCTACTACATGGATTTTGTTTCATGCTATATTTTGTTTTTTTTTAAATGTAGGTTGGGATGCCTATATCATTTTAATAAACTAGAACCCAAAAATATATATTTTTTAAATTACTTTTTAAAAAGGAAATTTTTTAGCACAACTACCTTAATTAAACGCAGTCAAGTTGGCCTACTTATATTTAATTTTTAGGAGTTTTAGGAGATAGATGGACATTTTAGGAGAATTTTAGGAGTTTTTAAAATTTAAGCCAAATTTTAGGAATTTTATGAATTTTAGGAGGTATGGGAGCTCTGCATTCGATACCCACCTAACGGACATAACGGTATGTAGGGACACTGCCATTTGAAGGGAAACAAGAAGGTGGAAACGGCCTCCGCCACTGCCGTTAGAGTGTCCGGTCTAAGGGAGTGTATCAAAATTTTTTGTTCAGTCAAGGCCAGCAGCAGAACTTGCAGGCAATTTTCCGAGCCCAGGTTGAGCAGCAGTTGCTTGAAACCGGCCGCGCTTCTGGGAAGAGGGGAGTCCTCTGGTTGGGTTAAGATCACGAGTTTCGAAAGTTGGAGCAAATTCCTCGGGGAGGGGAAGGGGATTTCGTCCATTAGTTGGACGATGTAACGTTCTATCGGAACCGCCTGGGGCACGCCACTGGCCACCAAGTCCTGGAATTTTTTTAATTTTCTTGGTAATAACTGGATTTTCCCAACTTAGTTTGGTGTACGATATTTTACATTTATTGGGGTTTATTTGGACATAAATTGTATTTTCATCAAGTTTTACCAAAAATTTATATATTTTAAGCCTTTCATTTCCCAATGCGATAGCACAAAAACTGCTTGAAAATAAAGACTAAAGTATAGTTATTTTTGGCCAACTTTGTTTGTAATAGAGCCTGGTCGAAAATTTGCAAGGCGAAACAATTGATCAGCATGGAAAAAGAATCAGCTTACTATGCGCAATAGCGAGTTTTATACGTTGCGTCGCCTCGTAAAAACTAAATCAATATTTCAAGACCTTTTTTTCTACAAAAATGCGTCAAAAAGGCTTGTGTTAAAGTTATTTAAAAAATATATAAGTCGTTTTTTCGCGTAAATACTACGTATAGTCACGGCCAAATCTGTATGGGTGCACGTCATCAACGGCATATGACGTCAGCGTTAAGGTCTATTCATACGTGCCCAGACACAATCTAACGCTCTGTATTGTTGACTGTTTATAGCGGTGGGGTCTGTTATTAAGATGGAATTATAACGTCCTTGTTATAATCTTCTGCACTAACTAATTAGGAGTTTGTTACAGGCAAATTTTTATTAAATGTGTTTAAAGAGAAAACAAACGGAGTTTATTACATTTTTATTACATATGCACATAACAAAAAAATTCTAAATTATCAGAAGCACAAAATATATAAATTACCAGTCGTCCTTGTCATCAGAGCAAACCAGGTCAGAATTGAAGTCTGATTATTTCCCCAAATTTATTATTAAGGGCGCAATGTCTTCGAAATCTAATAACGGCTAGTTGCCAACAAGCCTTATATCATTGTTTGCACAATCCAGGGATAGAATCTTATAAACATAATGTATAATATTATTTATAATAATTTGCAACAAACGATGCTTCCGGACGAAATGTCACAATTACAAAAATACGTCAAATATAAAATGACAGCGACCCATCAATAATATTGAACGGTGCGCGCCAGCCTTAAGCTATTACCAACTGGCACACACAAAAATTACTAAGTGAATGGTTTTATTTTGATAATTTCGTGAAAAAACGTTTTAAAACAAGGAAATTGTTACAGTTCTTGGTAAACAATACGCAAATGAATGATTTCTTTTTAATAACACATCAGAATTACGCCTTAAAAAAGCAAATTTAACGGCAGTAACTTTACAATTCAAAGTTGGTAATGCTGACGTCATTATATCTCATTGATGACGTGCACCCATATAGATTTGGCCGTGACTATAATACTACGGTTAAATAAGTCATGACGTCACAGTTAATTCATATAACCATGGTTAGGTTTCTAACATTTGACATTAAATTTTGTTTACTTGTTCATAACCTATAATTTTTAAAATGTGTTTTTACCACAGGTCTGTGGTTTTTACCTATTTATATTTAATTTCTATGCTTTTACCAGTGTAAATAAATTTCTTTGCCTCTTCTTATACCTAGTATATTCTTTTTCTATACTAGTTTTTTCAATACACGTTATCCAATTCTCCTACATGTTTAATACAAAATAAGGAAGAATATAAAACAAACCTGCATATAATTCCTCCACTTCTTGTGGAGATTCCACAATATGGAGCACCCTATCATTTATTTTCACTGACAACACCCCGTTTACCATTTTAATACAAAGTTTAAATTCGATTTAAGAGCAATTGTACCTACCTTAAATTATTTTAAATTTCAAATGTAAACAACTTTTTGACAAATCGAAACAGAAAAATATATATTAAAAAGAGAAAGACCACGTTGAATAACTAGCTCAGCGATATAGTTTTATGGTCTGGTATTTGTGACGTCATAGTAAGGATTTTTGAACGCACTCTAAACGCAAAAATGCCTTAACTATTAACCAAAGTTAAGTTTAATAACCATAGTATTTCATGGTATTTACGCGAAAAAACGACTATAATCATCAGTGCACTAACTAAACGTGTATTTAGTTTTAAACAGCTTTGAATTTTGAGTAAGTAATTAAATTTTTTAATGAATAATAATTTAATTATTGAACAATTTATTACTTTTTGAAGATTGTTATTCCGTCGTAAATTTTTAAGTAGAATAAATTTACATTGGTAGTTCTATATTATGTACATTTACGGAAAATAGTAATGTCCATTTGAATGCTCAATTGTAACTGTTCGGAAAAATTAGGAAATAGTCAACATTACATATTTAACCGTATTTTTATTAAATCGTTAATTTTTTGAAATATTTTTTACTGTTTTATAAAATTTATACATTTATTCCATAAAAAACTTTTAAAAATAACTTTTTCGGCTTAAAATAATATTATTAAGTTGTAGTTTTTAAAACTTACTTTACATTTTTGAGAACTAACAATGATTCAATACACTATTCTACATCATAGGAATAAAAAACACATTTTATTACTTGTTGCACGTTTATAAACATTTGTGTTAAAATTTAAAAAAATATATTTATAATTTTTATATTTGGTATATTTTTAAATTAAATATACTAGGATTTATCAAAAAACGTTTGATATAATTATAATAAAGAAGTTAACATACCTATAAAACTATAAAACATAAACATACATAGGTATGTACAAAACTATAAAATATTTATTATAGGTATATTTCCTCATAATTATTTATGTATTAAAATTTTAAAAATATATTTAGAATTTTTATATTTAGTATATTTTTAAATTAAATATACTGGGATTTATCAAAAACCGTTTGATATAATTTAAAAAAAAAATTAACATAGGTACCTATGAAACCACCTATGAAAAATGGTCCTGTTAAAATGTTAGCTTTTAGTTATTAAATTTACAGATCCCTCTTTTTTAGAGTACTTTGAAATTGTATAACTCGTCAACGGATTAGTGGACCGATAAAACTGAAACAAATTTTTGTAGGGAATTGGAGGCTTTCCATTATTTCCATCATTTTATGATAAATTAACTATTTCAAATGGTATTCAAGGTAAAACTTAGTAGGACCCTTAATTTAAGAAAATATTCTGCTAAAACAATGCGCAAAGAAAGCGGCATTTTTATTGTTTTAAAAATTGTAAATAATAAAGGTAATAATTATTTAACATTTCTTTTTAAATAAAAATGCCGCTTTCTTTGTGCATTGTTTTAACAGAATATTTTCTTTGATTACTCACAATTTTATTTTTGGCACTTAGACCCTTTGGGAAATCCAAGTTCAATTATTATAAGTTTATGCCGTTTTCATATTTTATTGGATTTTTATACATTGAAATAAGTTGGTATTGGGCAGTTATTTCATAAAACAAATAATGAAAGCTAAAATGTTGATAAACGTATTAAAAGTGAATTTCTTATAAGCACAAAATTCATTTTAGTTTAAAATTTTAATGGCTTTAATTTACATAGTAAGAATAAATATTTTTAAAATATTATTTTATTTCAAATTGCCCAGGTAACAAAAAATCACATAAAAAGGTAAATACATTAAAGAGGGTTATTAACAATTTTATTTGCAAAATTATGCAAACGTTTATAATTATTTTAGTATTAAATTTCTATATATTTCATACAACTAATTAAATAACATGTAGTTTATTAAGGTGAGCAATAACTATTGTGATTTCTGAATTCAATTTTAATATTGATTTCTTTTTTTATTTTAGTTTTTCATAACATATTAAGTTACCAATCACAAACAATTTTACAACAAGTTTTTAATGTTTAATAAAACATAATTCTTGATAGCCTTATCGTAATTCTATTTGTCTCATAATATTATAACACCCATAAAGGCATTAATAAATTAAAACACTTTTATTTGGATCCTTCATATATTTCAAATATTTTTTAATTATATTTTTTTTTTGTTTTTTAACAAATTTTTATTTTTTTAAATATTTTTTTATTATAATTAAAAAAATTAAATACAATTTTTAAATTTTATTTATAAAAATGCGTTTTATTTACCCAATTTTTTAATACACTCAAAAAATTAATATAATTTAAGGTAAACAAGTAAAAGCTTTAAAAAAAATTTTTTTAGTAATATTCTTTCAAATATAATTATAATATTTGTAAATACTCTGGATTTGTTCAAATATTTACCAATATCATATCATTGGTCAATTTTTCAAAAGTCTAATATATATTTGCCCAAATAAACATCAAAAATTTGTCATCGTTTTTCCATGCCCTAACATTAATTAAACCAAACGGCTTTTGCATATTATTGGGCAAAATTTGATCATTTATTGTTGGCCATCGCGATTGCACAAAAATCATTATTATTATTATGTTATTTAATTAGTTGGTATTAATAAAATAATTTATTTAAATGAAATATATAGACATTTAATATTAAAATAATAATAAACTTTTGCATAATTTTGCAAATAAAATTGTTAATAACCTCTTTAATGTATTTACCTTTTTATGTGATTTTTTGTTACCTGGGCAAGTTAAATTAAAATATTTATTCTTACTATGTAAATTAAAGCCATTAAAATTTTAAACTAAAATGCATTTTGTGCTTATAAAAAGAAATTCACTTTTAATACGTTTATCAACATTTTAGTTTTATTATTTGCTTCATGAAATAACTGCCCAATACCAACCTATTTCAATGTATAAAAATCCAATAAAACATAAACTTATAATTATTATAATTGAAGCTTGGTCTTCACAAAGGGTTCAAGTGCCAAAAATAAAATTGTGAGTAATCAATGAAAATAGTAGATAAAAAATAATCCTACAAAATAATATGGAGTTGGAATATTTATTAAGTCGTTTTGCATGGCACATAGACTATTTTTAAATAATAATTTAATATTTGACCAAATTGGGTCCAAACCCTTTGGGAATAACATGCTTCAATTATAATTTTTTCTTACTTTTTCAGCAAAACTAAATTTATGGTAAAATTTAGTGGGACCCTTTTTTAAGAAAATATTCTGTTAAACAATGCGCAAAGAAAGCGGCATTTTTATTTAAAAAGAAATGTTAAATAATTATTTATGTTATTATTTACCACGTGTTTTTAAATAAAAATGTCACTTTCTTAGCTGATTGCTTTAGCAGAAAATTTTCTTAAAGGAAGGGTCCTACAAAATTTTACCATAAATTTAGTTTTGCCGAAAAAATGGGAAAATCTGGAAAATTTCTATAAATTTAACTTTAAAAATGAGGGATCTGTAAATTTAATCTTAAGAGCTTACATTGCAACAGGACCATTTTTTTAGATGGTTTCTTAGGTGTGTTATTTTTTTTTATCTCCACGCGGTCTATAATTTAAACTATATTGTTGTCAACATTCGATAAAGAAATACCTTGTTATGGCCTAGGCCGATAAAAAATTTTATGAGGCAAGTAATTAGTTCGATTTTTTCTCGCTAGGGGTATTGTTTTGACAAATTAATCCTTTTCAAAGAAATTAACGTACTAAACTGGTTTAATTTATTTATAATAGGCACTAATTTGTTTGTTTTACTGTTAATGTTTAATATATTTCATTAAATTATTGTAAAATTAAATATGAATAATAAAAAAAGTGAGGTTGGGCAACCAAGAAAACGCACAATTCTTTTTCTACGATTTAAATTATCTTTAAGTTTTAATTTGCTTTAAGTTTTTAGTGAAATTAAATGTTAAACACAGCTTAAACATTTCAAACTACCTATTTTTTAAATGAAAATCCAAACAAATTGAAATTAGATACCTATCTATTTATTAAACAATTAATTGAATTCAATGTAATAGCAAAAATCCATTTCTACTTAAATCATGTTGCTATGTATTGTCAAGCTATTACTGCTTCTAAAAGCAATAATAATTTTTGTACATTTAATGTAATCTTTAGCTAATAAATAAATGAGATTCTAAAAAAGTGAGGTTAGGCCGCTTTGATGTTGAATTAAATTGACCTATATAAAGTGCTTTAAAGATAAAATGTTGTATGCCATTCGGCCAAGAAGTGCCTTTTTGTGCTTCGCTCAATTGTAGGCCTCCGCTACGCGTCGGCCTTCAAAACTTAAGCTTAGCACAAAAAGCCTTACTTCTTAACCTAATGACATAAATAACTATTATTATAATTATATCAAACGGTTTTTAATTTAAAAATATACCAAATATAAAAATTCTAAATATATTTTTTTAATTTTAACACAAACGTGCAATAACTAACAAAATGTGTTTTTTATTCCTATGATGTAGAATAGTGTATTGAATCATTGCTAGTTCTCAAAAATGTAAAGTAGGTTTTAAAAAATTACTACTTGATAATATTATTTTTAGCCTAAAAAGTTCTCTTTAAAAGTTTTTTTTACGGAATAAATGTATAAATTTAAAAAAAACTATTTAAAAAAATGAACGATTTAGTAAAAATACAATACAATAATACAATAAATATTTCCGAATGCTTCCGAACAGTTACGATTGAGCATTCAAATGGACATTACTATTTCCCGTAACTGTACATTTATTGTCAAAATTTTTCCAAACATGAAAGGGCAATTCTTGGCCAAGTTTTAACTTGATATGGTTCGATTCCAAAAACGCAACCAATGGGGTAGTTAAATTTTTTCTGACCTATACTTTTTATAGTTTTAATCAAGGCGTTTTGTAATTTTAAACATTTCTGTGAAATCGGAATTTGAATTGAGTTTACCGTTTTCGAGATATTTACAAAAAAAATCTCCTAATTACGTCACTAGGCTATTGACAACGTTGCCAGCTTTTTCTATGGTTGCCAGTGTGTTTAGTTTAAGATTCTTACGATAGATGGCGCCACGTTATAATATTTTAGTTTTAAAACCACTTGATCTATAATTTTAGTTGAGAAGAAGAAGAATTGATTTTTTGACGTTTCTTTTTTTCGGGTTATGTTTTTTTTAAATTTAGATTATTGAAAATCAATGTTATTGTTATGTTATTTGTAATTGATATTAGACTCCAAAGCAGAGGAATCTTGTGGAATGGTTGGTTACATTGAACATTGGAGCTTTTAAACAAATAAAGTAAGTACCTATAATTATAATCAAATTTTGTCGTAAATGCATTTCATTAGTATAATGCCTAGTTCTTTATATTCTTTTAGATATATCTTGGACTCTAAAATATCAAACAGTAATATGATACCTCGTAATAAGGAAGATAGGTACTTAATGAATTTGGTGACCATCTTTCACTCAACTGACAGTGACAGTATTTGTACATAACCTCTTCGGGTATTTTCTGACATAACCGAATGAAATCATTAACAAGACAACTTGACAACAGGGTAATTTTCAACCAATAGAAATCTTAGAATGTTGGTCACATGGCGAGGTTTGTGACGTCATAAAAATTTATATTTTTTGTAAATATCTCGAAAACGGTAAACTCAATTGAAATTCTGATTTCACAGAAATGTTTAATATTACAAAACGCCTTGAATAAAACCATAAAAGGTATAGGTCAGAAAAAATTTAACTACCCCATTATATATTATATTAAATATAATAGGACTTACATGTAAAAACATCAACCAATCTTGAAAATCGTAGGAGAACGGCCAGTGCGACAGCACGCATATGCTTTTGTTGACGTTCAACACGTCCGTCGAGTCGCTCTCGTATTCCAGCAGTTCCCTCTGTTCGTCCGTCAGATTTTCTTTGGGAAACTTTTCGTAGAACGTCACCGCGGAGCCGTAGACTTTGTGTTTGGCGTCCGAGACCGTGAGCACGAACGTGCTGAAAACAGGTTTGGGGCGCGTCGCCTCGCTCGGCCACAGTTCCAAAGTGGAACCCATCGGCAGACAAAATAAAGGCACTTTGGTCGGAAATGGGAAATTCGGAAGGTCCACATGAGGATACCTTCGAAAAAGGTTAAATAAAATTGGTTTTTATGTTTGTTTATTGCAGATTGATAGAAACAAAAATCCACGATTTTTTTAAAAATATTATGAAGCAATTTGTTTAAAACACCTTAAACTAATGGGTTTTGATTACTTCTATAAACTCTCAAAGTAGTATGTTTTAAAAACAGTAAATTTAGCCAAAAATAACTCTTATACTCCCTCTTATATTTATTTTTCTACTCCCGCCTTTAAAACGCGTATTATCGTACATGTTTCCATGTAGGGTTTGGGACAAACTTGAAATATTTCATTTAGTTGGAAAAGTGAAATTTTTAAAAATTTCAAATGAAATTTTCAATTCAAAAATTTCAACATTGCCTGTGAAACTTTCAGAAATTTCATTGAAAGTTTCGCAATTTACTGAAAATTTCGCATAAATTTCACATGCAGCCTCCCCTGGGACCTTTAATAATAATTTACAACAGATTCCGAATCGACCAATAAGAACGAGTTATCAAGCGTCTGGGCGTTTTTGTTTAGTTTGGCTTGGATTTGAATACACTATAAGTAATTATTGTTACTTATATGCATAAATTAATTTAAATAATTTAATTCAGTTACCAATTTAATTTGTAAATTAAATCAGACTTTAAAATTTTTTTAAAAGTCATGATTACCTAATTTAAACTTTTACTTTTGCTATAATTGCATCGGAAAACGGATAAAAAATGCCTTTGGCTCATAAAATTTTGTAGTGGCACAATCTCATTAGGTTACCAAAAAGTGCTATATCTCTCTTAGTTTTAGTAATTTTAAAAATATTTTAAAAGGAAATCTCAAGAAATTTGTGGTAAACATAGGTATTTACTATTTATATTATTGGTGCAGGGGCCCACAGAGGGGTAGGAGGTAAGAGAGGCAATTTGCCATGGTCACCGAGTGGGCTTCGATATTAATATATTACACTTAAAGTGATTGAAATTTATTGAAAGTTTCAATAAATTTCATAAATTTCATGAAATTTCAGACATTTAGAAAATTTTAATAAATTTCATAAATGTCGTGAAAATTTCAAGTAAAAGCAAAAAGTGAAATTTTCCCAACCCTATTTCCATGACACTAAGTAACCTAAAGCTGTGGCTTTATGGTTTTTAGTCACGGGTTTTCTTGTTAATTAATACTAAATGCGTTATCAATTAAAGGATCACAATTTTAACAGTAAATTAAATTTCAATTAAAGATTATAACTTTTTAAAGACAAAAATTTAATATTTTTTGGTTATATAATAGTATGTACTATTATATGACCATACCATATACTATTATATAATATGTATCAAGTTTGATAAACGCCATTTTAAACACGAATTTAATATAGATTAAACAAATTTGTATGTGTAAATCGAAATGTATCCCTTGAAAATGGACCTATACAGAAGCAGTTTTTCACATTGAAAGTAAAGAAAATGTTTTATTGGCACTCCACCCAAAATTAAGTAAAATCTAGTTTACTGCCGGCGAAATTAAAAGGTCAGTACAATGTTCATATAAACTTTTTAAATATTGACGTAGAGAAACTATTTTACACTTTTGTATTGAGATAATAATAGTATATTATGTATCAAGTTTGATAAACGCCATTTTATACACGAATTTAATTTAGGCACCAGCGAGCTTGCGAGCGAGTGCTTAAGTTAATGTGTGTATAGAAAAGTTTATAAAGGAGGTGCATACTATATTTTTTCTACGACAAATACCTATTATAATCTTAAAATGATTTAAATCAAAAATTTGTATAGAGCGCCATCTATGAAACAAAAGGGAAAACTGTCAAATGTCACATTTTTACATTTTATAAACACAATAATTATTATAAAGGTTATAAATTGAAATATATCTTGAAAATTGACAGTTTTTCACAGTGAAAGTAAAGGAAATGTTTTATGAGGACTTTACAGTGGAGTCCGTGCCCGAATTTAAGTTATAGTTTACTGCCGGCGAAATCAAAAGGTCAGTACAATGTTCATATAAACTTTTCAAATATTGGCGTTGAGAAACTATTTAATACTTTTGTATTGAGATAATAAAATAATTTTCACATTTAGTATTATTTTACAAGAAAGGCACTTTATTTTAACGATTGTATGACATTTGACAAATGTCAACTAACTTAAAACTAACTTCAGCCCGTGACTAAAAACCTGTTGCTTACTTCAGCCCGTGACTAAAATGCCGTTAAGCCACAAATTATCAATGTGTATTTTAAAGTGTCATGGAAACATGTACGATAATGGTCGTTTTAAAGGTGGGAGTAGAAAAGTATACTATGTGTTTTTTATTTTAAATATTCAATTAATACCATTGAAATTAAAGTAAAAATATCAGGTAAAAGTATTGTTCTATTTTAAATCAGGTATTATTATTTTTAGAATAGGTATTTTAAGATTGTGAAAAATGAGTACCTTTTGCATTTTTTATGAATTTTTAACAAAACTTTTTAAATATTGAGTACAATATTATAGACGAATATGCGTGTTACTTAACACAGTTAAAAAAAATAAATACATAAATAAATATAGTAAAATATACATAATAAGTAAGTCTCACTTAACACTGTTCAAAAGAAAAAATTAATATATTTACTTGCAATAAAAAAGTTATTAAATTATTTCCGCACTTTCTCTTACAAGTGCTGTAAAATCTCTATTATTATCCTCTTTAGTTTCTGTTTTTAATGAATAAAGTAACAAATCCTATTAACTTAATAATAAAATTTTCTCACCTTGATAAAACTCCAGGCTTGTAGGACAACAATTTAGCCCTATTCATTGACTTTTTATAACACAAAAAAACATCGCTGCCGACAATTCCCTTGTTTAGATTTTTGTTTATGCAGCAAAACGCATGCGGTGGAGATTCCCCTTTACTCGCTATAACCACGCAAATATCAGTTACTACGAGCGCATTACAAGGCATTGTTGACGATCCCCTTCTAAACGTAATGAAAGTTTGACTCGTAGAGTTGTTTACGTTGGCTACATTTCCCCCCACACTTTTGTCCACAACTTCAGCATCTTCCATTAGAACTTCTTTCCCATCATACATAACCCCTGAAAGCAAGGTTTCATCAAATGTGAACTTTAGATACTTTTCGTTTTTTTTAATTCAGAAAAAATTGAGAGTTTAGTTGGAAAATTCTAGGAAGTCTAAATTTATAATTGGCTACATTTAGTAGGAGAATATAATTGTGGTTAGGTTATAATTATAAGTATATGTATGTATATTAGGGTGCTTTTTTTCACGACTATTTTTATTTTTTCGCACCCAACTCAAAATCTTGTAAAAAATATTTTAAAAAAATTTCCTGAAAATTTGAGCCCTTAATATTAATTCAAACTTTGAATTTCAAAGTACTATACCAAAGCGTATAAAGATTTCCCATTTAAAATACACGTAAACTTTGATTTTTTTTAAATATCTCAGCCGCATTTTATGCTATTGGATTGTTTCAAAAAGGGATGTACAATTACTAAAAATTTGAGCCCTCAAAGTACTCTACCAAAGCGTACCTATAGCTATACCTAGGTATAGATAGCTATCTTCCAAAATATGAGAATTTTTCACTAAAATAAGATTTAGTGACCCGTACCATCCTACAGGTGCAGATTACAGCTATGGCACATAAAGCATTTTTGTACAACTTTTGATTAAAAAAAATAATCAAAGTTTATGTGTAGTTTAAATCTTTATACGCTTTGGTAGAGTAATATTAAGGGCTCAAATTTTTAGGAAATTTTTTTTAACATTTTTAACAAGATTTTGAGTTGGGAGCGAAAAAATAAAAATAGTCGTGAAAAAAAAGCACCCTAATGTATATGTATATGTTTATAAATTTTGAATTGTCAAATATAAGTGACTACAGCATACAAATGTATGTTTATTATAATTCTGACAGTTAAATGTCAAAGCATTTAAAATTAAGGGCTTCAACAGGAGCACCAATTTTAAATATTAAAAATACCAAAGTATATTAACATACAATAACCTTCTTTATCTCTGTACAATACCAAGATAATCAAACGTCCAATTCCAAATAAAAAAATTTAACTTTAAACATAACTTCTTAAATAATGGTGGGATTCTTAAGACAGTTATAGTTGACATTCTAGAGAGATAGGTATATCTGGCTTAAATGACATTCTTAAGACAGTTATATACAGTGTGTTATGGAAAATACTTTAGTAATTCCAAGATATCAGTCAGTCTTTTGGAACAAAAAATGTTATATGAATTTTGGCGATTCTGGATTTTTAATTTATTAAAATGTTATCAACAATAAAATAAAATGTAAATGTAACAGTGCATCGATTGCAAGTGGATTTAATAGCATAAATAAAAAAATCGTAAAATTGTGGTTATTTATTTGTTACTTCCAGTAGAACTGAGTTTAGGTATCTGTCACTGATGGTAGAATTAATGTTATTTAAATTATGCATGATTCATGACATCATGCTGCATTGAAATTGTTATTTTAAATAGGTACTAATTATTATCCCAGAATTACTAGTGTTTTCCATAACCCCCTGTATATCTTAAATAACATTCTTATATGTATATAAGCAACATATTATAACCTTTGTATCTAGCATAAGTTGAAAGCTGTATGTAGCTTAAGAATGTAATTTAAATATATAGAGATTTTATATTATTTGTATATTTTACCGATGTCAACTAAAGGGGGTTTGTCCCTGCCTCTTCTTATACATAAATAACATTCTATGGTTCGTAAGCTGCCATGGTTTAGATCAGCTTGAAGTCCGCTTGGTGTTCTAGTGATTACTTCATAGTCTTCAGGTTTTGTTTCTTCCAAAGTGGGGAATATAACACTTATGTCAGTTATGGGGGCCTGCCCATGACTGGCTTTTAATAAACCACCCTCTGAAAGGGTGTTGTCATCTAAAGGTTCTGGCTCATCTGGTAAACCTGCTACCACAAAATAGTCAGCTATTCTTCGTTCATCCATTGTAAAATATATTTTGTTATTATTTTGATATATTCTTAATTTTAAAGTAAAGGCACATTATTTCTTTTTAAGACTATACTAAAACTCAAATGAGATACTGTAATTTCAAAGAATTATTTTATCTTTCATGATACAGATGAGTCATCGTTATTATTGCACTATTTTCTCAGGCAGTTTGAGTATAAAAAACACAAAATATCTATTTCTTGTATTTACACGTTAATTTCGTACTTCAAACTTTCATATCTCATGATTTACGTTTTCGTTTTGTTGGTTTTTGATGTTTGACGTTTGTTAACCAAAAAATGTTTACAGGTTATTTTTTGAAATAATCTTTTTGTCATTAAAGTTCTATAAGTTTCCTATAGATGGTGTGCGTTATAGATTAAATTTAAGAGAAGTTTTCTTTATTTTATTTTTAACAGAACCAATTTAATAAACATAGGTGGCGGAACAAATATTAAAATACATATACTTACCACACAAGTATATGTTAAAAATTTTAACTTAAAATATCACATACTTCCACAAGTATGTGTAAAATATACGGGGTGCATTAAAAAAATATGGGGTATATGGGGTTTAATCAAAATTTAATCAAGTTTTATAAGCGCCATTTTAGTTAGGAGTTTTATTAGGCACGAGCGAAGCTTTCGAGCGAGTGTTTAACAAAAACTGTTCCAGTATTGGAACATACTGTTTTATTTTTTTATTATAATTAAAAAATATAAATACAACATTTTTTATTTACCCAATTTTCAAATATAATAATAATATTTGTTAATACTTTGGATTTGTCCAAATATTTACCAATATTTGGTCAATTTTTCAAAAGCCTAATTGCCCAAATAAACATCAAAAATTTGTCATCGTTTTTCCATGCCCAAACATTCCCAAAATTAAACCAACGGTAACCTACCTAATTTATCCAAACTGCTTTGGCATATTATTGGGCACAATTTGGTCATTTATTGTTGGCCATCGCGATTGCACAAATACCATAGGAATATACAGTCCTACATAGTACATTTATTGGCAAAACTTTTCCAAAGGTAATGGGCAATTCTTGGCCATGTTTTAACCTGATATGGCTCTCTGGGTAATGTCATAAGACGTCATCTTGTCGCACGCGGACAATTTATAAAACGAGCGACGAAGGAGTGAGTTTTGTAATGGACGAGTGCGACAAAAGGGCATGACATGAGTTCTTTATGCTACTTTATCAATTTTGTAAAAATTCCATAAAAAAAATTATTTTACACCTTAAATTTAATTTGGTCGAATTTTACTTTAGATATATAGTTGGTATTACCAGTGTTGCCAATTGCGGTGTAATTACACCATTTAGGTGTAATTTACTGAGTGTGGTGTAATTTTCTAACATTTTTGAATGCGGTGTAATTTGGGTGTAATTTTGGACGGATCATTTAAAACGTACCTATTTTTATTTAAGGAAAGTTTTGTTTATGTTTTTACGCAGAAGAAATGCAATCTATGAAAACAAGCATTTTTTTATCACATACTTCCACAAGTATGTGTAAAATATACGGGGTGCATTAAAAAAATATGGGGTATATGGGGTTTAATCAAAATTTAATCAAGTTTTATAAGCGCCATTTTAGTTAGGAGTTTTATTAGGCACGAGCGAAGCTTTCGAGCGAGTGTTTAACAAAAACGAGTGTCATGAGAAGTTAAGTTAATAAAACGACGAAAACAAAAAAGAATATATATATTATAATAGTATATTAAAGAACTAATGTCATAAGACGTCATCTTGTCGCACGCGGACAATTTATAAAACGAGCGACGAAGGAGTGAGTTTTGTAATGGACGAGTGCGACAAAAGGGCATGACATGAGTTCTTTATGCTACTTTATCAATTTTGTAAAAATTCCATAAAAAAAATTATTTTACACCTTAAATTTAATTTGGTCGAATTTTACTTTAGATATATAGTTGGTATTACCAGTGTTGCCAATTGCGGTGTAATTACACCATTTAGGTGTAATTTACTGAGTGTGGTGTAATTTTCTAACATTTTTGAATGCGGTGTAATTTGGGTGTAATTTTGGACGGATCATTTAAAACGTACCTATTTTTATTTAAGGAAAGTTTTGTTTATGTTTTTACGCAGAAGAAATGCAATCTATGAAAACAAGCATTTTTTTAATTTGAAAAACGGTGGGCATTGAAAATTAATAATAATAATAATAATAAATAATAGTTTGGACAGCCCTGAATCATGATAACGTATTATTTTTGCAAAACATATGGGTTTCGAGCATACGACATTTTCAAATTGAAAATTTCAATGTTATAAATCAGGCTTAATTTTTGTTGGGGTGTAATGTGGTGTAATTCTGGAGAGTTTGGGTGTAATTTTGCCAAAAGCAATTGGCAACACTGGGTATTACAGTTATTGGTTTGACAGTTAATGTCAAAATCGATTCGCCATGCCGTCGTTAATTTACTTATTTACATAAGCGGCTGTTATAACTAATGTTAAAGAATTTTCTTTGGTGTTAAACAAAATTTATTGCCAGAAAAGTCTCGTAAGTACTGGAAAACTCATAAAAATATTATAACCAATATTCAAAATATTATGCTGTTTAAAGTATAGTCAACCTTTGGGTGGGATAAGGTATCTCATTACAGCACCGAAAGCATTGTTATAATGAAGTCATTATGAACGCAAAATAGATAAAGGTAATTTTATTTGTAAAAAATTTGACATCTGTCAACTGTCAGATTTAACCTCGCTTTTTTCCAATTTATAATATAGCTAACTTCAACACGTGACTAAAATGCCTAAAAGCCACTGTTGCTAACTTCAGCCCGTGACTAAAACGCCATAAAGTCACAGCTTATCATTGGGGAGTAGATACAATTATTAATAAAAGTAGTTGGTAATGAAAAAGATTTTATTAATATCATAATGACTATATTCTACAATATATAATAAATGAAACAACATTAACATTGTAATATTATTGATTTATCAATTACATAACATAACAGTTACTATGTTAGTGATTATCATCGTTAACTGAGTCTTGAGTGGCGTAGCAACACACTTTCCCGCTTATATAAGTACATAATAGTATTTTACAATTCTTCGGGCACCATTTTCAGCAGCGCCATCTTCTTCTTGGCCACTTTCGAAATGAGAACGTCGATCGGTTTGGTGGTATCGTACAGAGATGGCGCGTTTAAAATAATCATCCCCGTGCCCACCACGCACGCCAATGTGAATATCCACAGGAACAGCCGGTCCATCACCATCGCTACGTACTTCCAATCTTCTTCCACCTGAAAAAAGTAATAAAAGTATAAGTTTGTTGAAATTACAGGGAAAAGATTCACATGAAATGTTTATTTTTACATGAAAAGTATCAATATGTTATTCCTCAGGCTTAGGGTTGCCAAGTGTACTGATTTTGGTATAAATTTTTATTAATATTTTATAAAGCTACATGAAGACTACGTGGCTTCCCAAAATAAAAGGGCGCTAGTTTTGTTTGTTGTTTGGTTCGCACCAAAGCAGACGTCATGGGGTGATGTTCATAATATCGAAATTCACTTTATCGAATTCAAAATATCGAACACTTTTTATCGAAAATCAAAATATCGAAAATACAAAATGTTGAAAATCAAAATATCGAAAATACAAAATGTCGAAATGAAAATATCGAAATTTTATTTAATCGAATTTTCAATTTATCGAAAATAAAATCTCGACTGCTTAAAATATCGATTATAATAATATGGACATATAAAATATCGAAATTACAGAATATTAAAAATTAAAATATCGAAAGAGCAAAATATCACACTAGCGGATGGCGACAGTCGGTGATTATTAAGTTGACAGTGTTGCCGGTTTAATCAAGTAATAATTGGACTAGAGGCTAAATGTAGCAAGTATTTCTCAAGGTTATGACGAATAGCTGTCATCTTGGTTATGCAGGTACACTGCATTGTGCCATACCAAACCAACCCAAACTTAACAACCCAACCCAACCGACCCCGCCCCATTGGGCCCCTCCCGCCCCATTGAGCAATAGAGGTATAATATATCTAAGGGCAGGCTGGATTGTGACAATGGGGCGGGAGGGGCCCAATGGGGCGGGGTCGGTTGGGTTGTTAAGTTTGGGTTAGTTTGGTATATTAACCTATAATAAAATAAAATTAATTACTCAACGATTTTTGAATTATTTTAACGTAAATAACAAATTTTAATACTATTTTAATCATACATTTTAATTTTCGATATTTTCAAATCGATATTTTAATTTTCGAAATTTTAATTATTCGACATTTTCAAATCGACATTTTAATTTTCGATATTATCATTTTCGACATTTTGAATTTTTGATATTTTGATTTTCGATATTTTGTATTTTCGATATTTTGATTTTCGATAAAAAGTGTTCGATATTTTTAATTCGATATAATGAATTTCGATATTGTGAATGTCACCCGACGCACTGTGTCGTATTTGACCTGTATAGGTGACCAAAAGTCGATTTCTGAAGTTGCCCTTACAGCAAAAAAATATACATAAAATTGATCATTATGCTTTTCTTGACAATGTACAACCATTTGTTTATTTATAAAATATTAATAAGGACCGTGATGTATAAAATTTTAAAACAATGCACAAACACATTTTTTTATATAAATAACTCGCGCTTGGTAAATATGCGATTAAAACTATAAATTATAATTAACAGGAGTTATATTTGGTAGATTGCTTTAAAATAAATGTCTTTTAAGGTATAACGTTAAAAATTAAAAAAATATTTTATTTTATATATAGTAATAGCCGTCCAAATTTTGTCATTTTTTTAACGTGCATTCAAGCAACCTTTTTGCAAATAGTAATGGTACCCCAGGTTGCCCCAATTTCTTTTGTGTGTGGAAGTGTTTTTTAATATATGAATAATGGTCGTTATTAAGGATTTTGACGGGAAATGTTGAGAAACTTGGCTACACTTGATTTTATGTCAAAAAATGTGTATTAGAGCTCATTTTTTTAAACTTTTGTCTTTATTTTCCGAGTTTTTTTTAAATCTGGAGCCTTAAAATTAATTAAAAACATAAAAATAATAAATATATATTAATTTAAAACTAATTTTTATAGCCAATTGGCTATAAAAATAACTTCTTAACTTTCTTGCTAACAACATCCATTTCAAATACCCAAATTTAGCAATCTAACGGATTTGAGAAAAATGAATGGCAGATGAGGTATCTAAACAGAAAACTTTAACAGGATAAGAGTACAAGTGCGGAATCCCTTTTAGCTCTGCAAAAGGCCATTAAAAACATAAAAAAGTACGTAGAATAAAAATCGAAATAAATAAAATTGGTATCGCCCCAAAAAAAATTGAACACCCTGTATAAATTAAATTACAACATTAAAAAATATGTATTAATTCAAATGTTTTTGTTCCCTACAAATTTTTCATGACTACAGTTGTTTCTGAGATAGGCATATGGGTTATCTTACGTGGTTCACCCTGTACTTAGCTTCTTTTAATCCTAACTAATGGTTAAATTTATTAAAAATTATCTTTTTGTATAACAAAAAAGCTTTTTCAATATGTTTTTCAACAAAAATATTTTTGGTCACCTAATCACTCTGTTTACGACATAGTGCGACGTCATGAGTCATGAGTCATGACCTATATATAGGACTTAATATTCCTATGATTTTTGTGCAATATATTGTATATTTATTGGCAAAACTTTACCAAAGATGAAAGGGCAATTCTTGGCCAAGTTTTAACCTATAAATATTTATGAATAAACACACGTTTAAGCTTTTTGTTTATTTTGATGCTGTGATTAAGTAATAGTAGATGTTTATATCATATTTTAGAAATAAATAAAAACTTTTAAAGTTTTCAAACCTGCCCAGTTTTTGCGACTGCGCTTTTGCCAATGCAACAGTCGTGGCGCCATCTATACTAAATGTAACAAACTATTACAGATTTCTACTTACATTTTCGAATGCGTCTTTATTCCTAACGTGTTGAGCAATGAACCTCGAGTCGGCGATCGTTTTCTCCATGTCCTGGAGCTCGACCTTGTCGAAGGAGGGGCTGGCGTCGTCGAATGTGTTCGTCCGGCAGCTGGCGGGGCTGTAGAGCTCCTCGTCGCCGCCGGTGAGCGGCGGTAACGGCGGAAACGGCGGCTCGCCGAAACACGAGCCGGGTATTTCGAAACGCGCCGATGGAAGACCTAGGTCGAAACTGTCGAAGGAAGCCTTGTCGAGTGGCTTGAATGTGTCCAGCATGGGCACCTGAAAAAAAAATAAAATTAATTTGTTGCTTGCTTTTAATTAGATATCTACCGTATTTTCATTTTTCCTCTAGACAGGCATTAGGTTTTTAAGAGTGGGAGAATAATTTTTAAGAGTGGGAGACGCCGAGACTCGGACGAAGAGATGGTATTCGTAATTCAGCAGTAGAACCTTCACCGGAGATTGGTGATGTTGAAGTTTGTTCTGAATTATTAATACGAATTAGGGGAAGGTGGGGGAATTTTGCGCGGTGGGTAATTTTACGCATAAACAATTCTTCCAGATATGAAGTAAATAATACATTTTTTGAATGTTGCAAACTTGGAAACGTTGCTTTGGGTATACGGGGACTAAAGTGTACCGCAATTAAGCTTGTAGCTTTTAGCTAGTGACCATGGTCACTAGCTAACTGTGATACATGTACGTTGATCTAAGAAATCCATGTCGTTTTCGCTACGAGTTAAGTTTAAATTTCTGTCCAATCGCTTAAATTTACACCAGATTACGAGGAAAGATGATATAAAGTTGTGTTATAAACATTAATGTTTATAACACAACTTTATATCATCTTTCCTCGTAATCTGGTGTATGTTTAAATTGTTCAGGTTAACTTTTGTAAAGTTTTTGAGTATCACAATATTTTTCTTGCAATGGGGGTAATTTTACGCTGAAAAATTTGGGTAATTTTGCGCTGCATAATTTGGCCAATATGGGAGCTTTGGTATACAGGAGCCTAGATTGTTCAGCATAAACAGTTCCATTTGGGCACATGCGGAGTGTAGCGAAAAAAAACCCTAAAACTACATATGTGACAAATGTAGCATGTAGACCCTCTTATTTCTAGGAACAAAAATTTTATTTTTAGTTATTTATTTTTGATTTTGTTTGTTTTGTTTGTTTCATAGAGAAAATAGTTTTGTTTTATTTTTATGTTTTAATATAATAATATTATAGAAATAAACGGTTTATTTCCCCCCAGACCCCCCATCCCCTCCCCCAGGCCCACCAGAGCATCACATATCAGAGTGCGTCCCTGATAGGTGGGTAATTTTGCGCAAAGGAATTATTTAAAAAAATGTAGTTTTTGCATACCAAACATTTTTTTTTATAAATTGCGCATTATATACACAAAGTAAACATAGTAGACTATCGCTGGTATTAATTGCAAAATTTCACATTTAAACTTAACAAAGATACTAGAGATTATGCATAGATGCGCAGAATTCCCCCACCTTCCCCTACGCATTATTAAGTTAATTTACTTTTAAAAATGATACAGATACTTAAAATGTAACGTAATCACTTTTAAAAGTAAATTATTACCTAATTAAATTATAAAGGTGTAAAATCATTATTTGTTTTGCATTTAACTAAAAGTGTTTTCTTTTAAAAAAACCTTTAAACATAAAAAATTCTCTTTAAAAACTAAAATAAAAAAATAAAATATTTCCCTTAAAAACAAATCAAAATAACTAAATCAATACTATTAAAACAAAACTAAAAATCAAAATTCTTAAAATAAATGTAAATAAATAAATAAATTAATTAAATAATAAAAATAATAAATTATTATTTGAACACAAGCTTTGAATAATTTATTCAAAACCTAACTTTCCCCCAAATTGCGTCAAACAAAAGCCCAGTCTGTCATAATTCGGTGCGAACATTAGCTAGCATATCTGGAGTAATTGTCTCAAACGATGTATGCATTCTTGCCTCTAATTCGCCAAAATTATTCATTTTTTCATGACGGTACAATTGTACCTTAAGGTAGATTTTACATATCCCCATAGAAAAAATCGTTAGGAGCCAAGTCTGGCGACCTTGCTGGCCAGCGAATAGCGCCCCTGGTAGAAATTATCCTTTGAGGAAAATCTCTTGTAAATACTCCATTACTATTCTTGTGTTTGTTGATACCAAACGTTATTCAAATTTGAACCAAAAACAAAACTGTTAAAAATAGATGTGACTTGATAATTAAAACTTAATTTAGAACAATATACGGTTTTACCACTCTACAGAGTGTGTGAAACTTATGGTAAAAAACATATTTTTGTTTAAACCTGTATATTATAAACGTACGTGTATTTTTTAGTAATTTTTAAAATGGCAGCGATTCTCCATTAATGTATCTACAATATTCTTTAATTTTTGTTCAAATCCGAAAACAAATAAAAAAGTTATTTGCGATTGAAATTCATCGAAAATTTGTGTGAATCGATTATTTTGCCTGTGAGTGTATTAAATAGTGTTTACTCACTTGAATAACGTCGGTGAGCATGCTGTCCTGACCCTTGTCGTCCTCGTCTTTCTTGGGCCTCGAGATGAACAAAAATTTCGGCAAAAACTCGATGAACAGCCCGCGAACCCACGGCGCCAGCTTGTGCGTGACGGGCGAGCGAAAGTTCACGTTCAGCACTATGATGGTGATCACTACCGATAACGTGCACAGCAGCATGGTGAACAGGAGATATTTTCCCAGCAGAGGCACTGTGAGGGAGGTGGGCGGGATGATCTCCACGAGGAGGAGGAAGAACACGGTCAACGAGAGGAGGATCGAGATGGACAACGACACCTTCTCTCCGGAATCCGAAGGGAGGTAGAAGACGAGGATGGAGAGGAAGGATATTCCCACGCAAGGGATGATCAGGTTGACCGTGTAGAAGAGAGTTTTTCGGCGGAGCGTTATGTTGAAGATGATGTCGGGGTATGGCTCCTCGCAGCAGCTGTAGAACTTTTCGTTGCGCACCGCGGGCACCCGCATTATGTCCCATTCGACTGATATGTAGTAGTCCTGCAAGTCGATTCCCATGTCGATCTTGTTTGAGTCTTGGACCTGCGACAGGTGTCTCAGATCCACCTAAAAGCAATAGACCAGTGCAGAAGCCTTTAAAAATGGTAAAAAGAGAAAAAAATAACAGTAGGATGAAACCCATTGGGAAAGGAGGGGAATATAATAAAAATTAAAGGAAAAATAAATTACGGGCGATCTGAGTTCGGGAAGCGGGAGGGGGGGGGTTTTAAGGGTAAAAAATGGTTTATCTCGATTTCCGGCAAAACTACAAGTCCTATGGAAAAAAATTAAATGTCAAAGTTGTAGGTAATAAAAAGATCTACAACTTTTGTGTTTACAATTTTTTCACATAACCTCAAAATTTATGTGAAAAATTCAAAAAACCAAGTTTTTGGTTTTTTTATTTTTATCTTTTTCAAAAAAAATTTTTTTCCACGAAATTTGGTGAAAACTTACCTTTTTATGTCCCAAATACACTGTAATTTATTTGATTTGAAATATTTATTATTTCGCCTTATTTTGACTTAATATCAAAAAAGCACCCTAATTTTCAATCGAAAATTCTCGCGTCAAAATATCAGCTTTTTTTAAAAAGTCGGTGTGCTTTTTGTTCGATGAACTCTCTACTTTCTGATGGTGTAAAAAAAAATATACATTACTATGGTAAATGTTCTCAGAAAATACAAAAAATATTATAATGAATAACGTAATCAGAATGAAGTATCTAATCTAAATTCAATAGTATGATTTACATGTATTTTTATATTTTATGAGATTTTCTGACATAAATGTTATTAGAATTTAATAAATAAACTTTTTAACTAAAAAAAATTGCAACAATCACATTTTTTTGATGAAATTGTACATAATGATTAAAATAAATTTTCGAATTCGAGTTTTTTTCATTATTCATTATAATATTTTTTGCATTTTCTGAGAACATTTACCATAGTAATGTATATATTTTTTACACCATCAGAAAGTAGAGATTTCAACGAACAAAAAGCACACCGACTTTTTGAAAAAAGCTGATATTTTGACGCGAGAATTTTCGATTGAAAATTAGGGTGCTTTTTTGATATTAAGTCAAAATAAGGCGAAATAATAAATATTTCAAATCAAATAAATTACAGTGTATTTGAGACATAAAAAGGTAAGTTTTCACCAAATTTCGTGAAAAAAAAATTTTTTTTTGAAAAAGAAAAATAAAAAACCAAAAACTTGTTTTTTTGAATTTTTCACATAAATTTTGAGGTTATGTAAAAAAATTGTAATTACAAAAGTTTTAGATCCTTTTATTACCTACAACTTTGCCATTTAACTTTTTTCCATAGGACTTGTAGTTTTGCCGGAAATCGAGATAAACCATTTTTTAACCTTAAAACCCCCCCCTCCCACTTCCCGAAGTCAGATCGCCCGTAATTTATTTTTCCTTTCATTTTTATTATATTCCTCTCCTTTTCCAATGGGTTTCATCCTACTGTTATTTTTTTTGGTTTCAAAAATTATCGACCCTGGTCTACAATCGTTCTCAACTGTATCAAATTTACTGTAATTTGGCAGTGTTCTTACCAAGTATCCATCATAAGTCCAAGATCCAAACTTCATGAAACATGTTTGCTCGTCGAATGGAAAATACTCGACATCGATCTCGCAAAAGGATTTGTAGATCGCCGGGGGTTTCCATACCACTTTGCCAGTGTGATGTAGAATCGCCTTGGTCATTATTGTCACCTCGTAGTTACCATCAGCGCTATGAACAAAAAGTATTGCATTGCTTTTATGTGAAACTTATACCTACATAGATACATCCCAGAGAGCACGGGATATTCTAAGAATATTCTCTAAATCTACTTAATATATTGACAATATGACTAATATTCTTGTAATATTCATAAAATATTCGTGCCTATAAGTTACATTCATGAATGATTCATTTCAGTATATCCCAGGCACATGAGTAATGAATCTGCTTATCTTATTCATTTTGGTATATTCCTACAATATTCTACTAATATTCAATTGTTCCATTTTTCATTTAGTCTAATTAGTCTAATTGAATCGGTGAGATTAGGAACAGTCCAAGTCCATTTTTTTAAAATTATTTATGATTTTTCTTAAATGTGTAATTTACAACAAAAATTTGATAAATAAAAAAAATTTATATATTTATTTATTTATATTATATGTGGGTTGTGGTCGCAGTAAGGAGTTATTGTGTGGTTTTAAGGGTTTGTAGGATGTCCCTTTCTTTCAGAAAATACGTTAAATGTCGTTTGGGTTACGGTTATTGTTGTTGCTTTATCCAAATAAATATCATTACTGTTTGTTAGAAATTTTAATGTTTTATACGTTTAATTCTCTCCCATAATCCCTCATATTCTTATATTCTTATATTCTTATATTCTTATATTCTTATATTCTTATATTCTTATATTCTTATATTCTTATATTCTTATATTCTTATATTCTTATATTCTTATATTCTTATATTCTTATATTCTTATATTCTTATATTCTTATATTCTTATATTCTTATATTCTTATATTCTTATATTCTTATATTCTTATATTCTTATATTCTTATATTCTTATATTCTTATATTCTTATATTCTTATATTCTTATATTCTTATATTCTTATATTCTTATATTCTTATATTCTTATATTCTTATATTCTTATATTCTTATATTCTTATATTCTTATATTCTTATATTCTTATATTCTTATATTCTTATATTCTTATATTCTTATATTCTTATATTCTTATATTCTTATATTCTTATATTCTTATATTCTTAAATTCTTATATTCTTGTAAAAAGCAAATATTTTAAATTTACTAAATAAAAAATATCAGTTTGGCATAAAAATTAAATCTAATTTTTAATTTAGCGAATTTAAAATGTATGTTTAACATAAAAATACAAATATAAGAAACAAATAATTTAAATTTACTAAATTAAAAATATCTGTTTGGCCTAAAAGTTAAATCCAATTTTAGAATATCTGCTATGATATTATTAATTCGCAGAATAAAAATTTTTAAGTGATATTTTTTTTCTAATTGAAAATATCGCTCTAGGGTTAATACATAAAATTAATTCTATAGATACACGTAGCCATCAAGTAAGACTTTTCTAGATTATAAATACCGTTCTTTTGTCCGAATAAATGTCAACTTGTTAAAAGTCTCTTTTATAGCGATATTTTAGCGTAACTCACAATCAATCTTCTTCTATAGAATGCGAAATTTCGGACTGAATGGCCTAATTAATCAAAACAACGTTTCCTCGTTATCCAAAGACAAACATTAATCAAGCAGTGAAATACAAAACTAGAGGTGGTATAATTAAATTTGCTTAGTGCCTATTAAAATAAATTTGATTTGAATTATGCAAATTCAATATGAAAGGATTCTGTTCTGTTCTGTTATCAAAAACTTGATTTATTTTCGTGAGAAAAAACCCACAATAAAATAAAATATGACTTCTTACGACTTAATTTCGTAAAAGTTTAAATAAAATTTCAGGTTTCCATTGAATACATTGTTGGGCACAAATCCGATGCAATCGATTTTCGTTATTAAAATTCTTTGTTCCGCAGCAGACGCATAAAATTTTATGGAAAATGTTTTTGCCCGATTGAACAAAAAGCATTTGAGGAATGCAAGCTTTATTAAATCCTTTATAAAAGGAAACTCACTTATTATATAAAACAATGTCGGGAAGCCAAATATGTTCGGAGGGTACGTGCAGAATTTCCACACCACCGTAGTCGTCCGGATTCCATTTTAGTTTGTAGTCGTTCCATTCCTGAAATTAGTCAAAGGTTATTAGAAGGGATAATTTCATGTAAAGGTTTACAAACGTACCTGTTCTACCCACACATTCGTTGTCATTATTTGATTTTTTAAGTTCTGAAAAGATAAATATATTAGTATAAATAAACGGGATACATACTGGGTGTCTGGAAATAAAATTTCGGGGGGTAATTCTACTAGTAAAAACAAAATAAAAAGTTTTTTAAACTGGTTTTTCTACTTCCACCTTTAAAACGCCCTTTATCGTACATGTTTCCATGACACTAAGTGACCTTTTAAATACACATTGACAAGTTGTGGCTTTATGGCGCTTTAGTCACGGGCTGAAGTTAGCAACAGGTTTTTAGCCACGGGCTGAAGTTAGGTTTAAGTTAGTTAACAGTTGTCAAATGTCATACAATCGTTAAAATAAAGTGCCTTTCTTGTAAAATAATACTAAATGTGAAAATTATTTTATTATCTTAATACAAAAATACAAAATTATTAAATAGTTTCTCAACGCCAATATTTGAAAAGTTTATATGAACATTGTACTGACCTTTTTATTTCGCCGGCAGTAAACTATAACTTAAATTCGGGCACGGACTCCACTGTAAAGTCTTCATAAAACATTTTCTTTACTTTCATTGTAAAACACTGTCAATTTTCAAGAAATACTTTTAGATTTATAACCTTTATAAATGTGACATTTGAAGGTGACACACAGATTCCCCTATTATTTCATAGATGGCGCTCTATGCAAATTTTTTATTTAAATCATTTTATCTACTCCTACATTGACGAGCTGTAACTTTATGGCGTTTTATTGACGGGCTGAAGTTAACAACAGTGGCTTTTCGATATTTTACGTCACGGGCTGAAGTTAGCTTTATTATAAATTGGGAAAAAGTGAGGTTAAATTCAGGTGACAGTTGACAGATGTCAAAATTTTAACAAATAAAATTGGCTTTAAATTCTGTTTTGTGTTCGTCGTAGATAAAGTATAGTATGCAACTCGTTTATAAACTTCTTTAGACACTCGTTTTTATTAAACACTCGCTCGTAAGCTTAATTAAACTCGTAACTAAAATGACGTTTATAAAACTTGATACATAATATACTATTAAGATAATAACAAGTATTTGTCGTAGAAAAAGTATAGTATGAATAAAGTGACCAGATTCTGTCTAAAAATAACGGGACATTTTGTGTAAATTAACCTTAATTACAAAAATGACACAATCAACAATAATTAAGTAACGTCAAATTTACAATTTGCATTGAATAATTGTGTCAATTTTGTAATTAAGGTAAATTCATACAAAATGTCCCTCTATTTTTTGACAGAATCTGGTCACTTTAAGTATGCACCTCGTTTATAAACTTTTCTATACACTCATTAATTTAAGCACTCGCTCGCAAGCTCGCTCGTTCCTAAATTATCAAACTTGATACATAATATACTATTAGTGTTAAAATAATGATAGTTTATTTCTTGGGTATGTTTTTGGCAAGACACAGTAAAAAAAAGCTTCACACTAAGCTTCACTAGAGAACACAAGTTATAGCTTGAGCAGGTCCACTATATTAGTTCAAATTTTTACCTTAAATTTAATGTGAATTTTAGTGTTGTTTTAACTCTAGAGGTTGTACTCTTGTAGTATAACACATTTAAGCAACTTCATACACTATTTGATTGAAAATTACTACACTAACCGTGTTCGGTAGCTCTCTAAAAGTGTTCACTTTGACACTAATTTATTTGCATTTTTTCACTCTAAGCCTCATTCAGAACCTCGTAATTAGTGGAAAAAATTGGTGGTTTCAATTGTACTTATAATTAACACAAAACGATAATTCAAAATGCGCAAAATTAACATCTAAAATTAAGGGATTTTGCTAAAATATTTTGCATTCTTCTTAACCTGACATAAACAATATTAATTATATTAAAATAATATTTTTTACAACCATTACAATAATATTTATTTAAAGTTACCTTCACTGGAAAATCTTCAGCTTTTGACATAAAATACCCGCGCACATGCGCAAAGCCGCTTTCCAATTATAATTAGTGGTAAAAGTTAGAAGTTTGCAAACTTTTTCCACTAATTGAAAAGTACTACCACTAATTTGTTGGTTGTAAACAACACTGTGTATATTCATAAGACAAACTTTTACGTTAATTAATTAACACAAAACGATCATTCACAATGCGCAAAATTAACATCTAAAATTAAGGGAATTTGCTAAAAGATTGTCAATTTTTTATAACCTGACATAAACAATATTAATTATAATAAAATAATATTTTTTACATCCATTACAATATTATTTATATAACCTTACCTTCACTGGCAAATCTTCAAACTTTTTGCTTTTGACATAAAATATCCGCGCACATGCGCAAAGCCGCTTTCCAATTATAAATTGGTAAGTGGTAAATGTTTGGAGTTTGCAAACTATTTCCACTAAATGAAAAGTACTACCACTAATTTTTTGGTTGTGCACAACACTGTGTATATTCATAAGACAAACTTTTACGTTAATTGAAACCACTAATTTATTCCACTAATTACGAGGTTCTGAATAAGGCATTAATTTGTATAACTTGACCTCCGAAAACACTAACACTCATTTGTACGTTGCAACGTTATTTTTAACAAAAACAGTCATTTTGTGGTAACCATCTTGTTCTCAATCATTTTGACCTCAAATTTGAGGTCCTTGACCCCAAAAACCCCTTACTACTACTTTTTTTCGAACGTGACGTTAGTTTTTTTGCCATTTTGTGGCGCGCCATGGCGGTCATTTTGTTTTTTACTATTTTGACCTCAAATTCGAGTTCTCGGACCCCAAAAACATAAAGGTATTTATTTTCAAATAAATTCGCTCTCTATTTGAATTTTGGCCAGCTTTTTGTGTGTTTCTGACCACTGTGCATCTTTTTTTATCTTTATGTGTAGAATCACCCAACGAAATTTATTAACGTTAACGTTAACGTGTTAACACAACCCTGTACACATTTTTTTGTTAATGAAATTTTTTTTAACCAATTTAACCTTAAAAGCTATACAAATTAGATCTCTTAGTAAAAAAAAGTTATTTATTACCGAAAAATATTCGAATAGGATTTTTATTCGTATCACGTAAAAACCCTGAATTTTGTGAAAGCTGCAGAGTTAAGAGCCATACCACGATCGTTTTAAAGTATATCCTTTTTTTGGTAGGCTTAATGTTAAAGGATAAATCTAGAGGTATCAAAGGATACCTTGAACAAATGTTATTCGAAGAAATAACACTTCCTTATTTGTAAAAGCCGAATCCAATATTTACTTAGCTGAGTTTGGTTTGTAAGAAATACCTACCTATAATCTTAAAACTCCTGCAATCGATTAATTAGATTATTTAGAGCAACAAGGTACCTACTGTTAAAAAGAAATAAATTCAAAAAAGTTAAGCACCCCTACTGAATAATGGATGCGAATCTACGAATTATTATCTAGAATTATTCCAATTTACAAATTGTTCGAGACGAATCGAATTGAATAATTTAAATATCGAATATTATAACTTATATTTAAATCCCATACACTAAAGAAGCATTGTGGGAATTAAAGAATTGTTAATAATACATTTAAAGCATACGAACTGCACATCATTTATAAATAAATAAGTAGTTTATTTTACAAAAAAAGAAGCTTTACTCGACAAATTTTGTTCGCAAAGTTTTAATTGCACAGACACATCTCGCACGTTATTTGTGATTCGCGTTGCAAGTAAAAACTGCAAAAGTTTGGTTTAGTAATCGATTTCGATTTATCATTTATTATAACCTTGATTAAGAAAGTCAACGCTTATAGGCTCATATAGTTACGTTAGTGTGTGTGTTTTATCTAAGTGATCATGGTGAATTATTGTTTTTTTAATTGTGAATGTATTCAAGAACTAAATCGTTGCATTTTCATGTTTTGCCAAAGGATTCGATTCGGTACGTTGGAGCAGAATTAATGAATTAATGACAACTTTACCTAATATAATTCATATTTAATTTGCACATTTTTAAGACATTTAACAAAAAATAATTGTTGTACTAACATAACCTTAAAATTAAACATTTGAATCCTCTAAAAAAAATACCGACAACTGCATTTTAAAATAGTAAACTATAAAATTTATCTACTAATTCATGGCAACATAATATTATATATAATAATGTATAATTTCGTTTTTATCCGTATCCGGTATTTTATTGTTGAGTGGAGACTTTCTCAATCAACGCATTTAATACGTTTAATATGTTTTATAATTTTTACTGAATTATAATTTTTACGTAAATCATTACTAAAATATGTATTTATTGTATTAATAGGTACAATTTATATTTACCGGAACTGTATGGAATTTATTTTTTTATTCAAATTTCCACTGTTTATTGGGAAACCGGTTAAAACATAAAACAGGATTTTCTCTCGAAAAACACCGTGTTGTTGGGTCGTTCCACGTTTTTGACGTTTTCATCTGTCATTTTTACATTTGTTTTCTGTCAATTTAGACATCTGTGGCAACTCTCATCCATCATTTTAACTTCTGTCATCTGTTCTTTTTGACATGTGATATCTGACATTGTTTACATCTCTTATATGTCATTTTTGACATTTGTTTTCTATCATCTTGGACATCCGTCATCTATAATTTGTCATTATTCATCATTTTCATCATCAACTTTAACTGGATAGTATATACTATACAGCCAAAAGTTCCACTTGACGTTTGAATTAAAATAATTAAGGTTATCTATTTATCATAATTTACACCTATCATCACTAATTGTTGAAAAAATATTTGTCATTTGACATCTGTGCTTTCAATTTTACAACTGTCATTTCTTTTTTCTTACATTTCATATCTAAATTTTTTTACATCTGTTACTGTTATTTTAAAGTTTGTTTTCTATCGTTGTATTGTAGATTTTACATATGTCATTTTTTACATCGTATTACTCTAAAGAAGTATCGGGTTTTCGCAACGCGCGCGCCATCTGGTGGACTTCGAATGCATTGCGTGAATTTAAGAATTGTCAACAATAAATGTAAAGCACCGATTATACATCATTT